GTGTGTGTGTGTGTGTGTGTGTGTGTGTGTGTGTGTCGTGTGTGTGTGTGTTGTGGTATACATATTATATATATATATATTATATATATATATATATTATATATATATATATATGTATATATATATATAGAACGATGTACTAAAACGCGTTGCATACACTCAATAGTACTATCGAACAGTATTAACCCCATTGATAGGAACTCTGTAACATACAGTTTATCAAAGTAGCATTGGCCTCCTCTACTCTCGCTGATATACCCACATCTACTCGTTGACAGCATCACTTCTCGAATGGTCCTCTCTGGCCCCAATACCTGGCCGACAAGTACAACTTCACAGTGCACAGTCATGCATTCGGCGGCGCGACATCGAATTCTTCAGTAATAGGTTTGTTGTTATATTCCTTCAGTAATAGGTTAGTTGTTATATTTCTTCAGTAATAGGTAAGTTGTTATATTCCTTCAGTAATAGGTTAGTTGTTATATTTCTTCAGTATTAGGTTGGTTGTTATATTCCTTCAGTAGTAGGCTAGTTGTTATATTCCTTCAGTATTAGTTTAGTTGTTATATTCCTTCAGTATTAGTTTAGTTATTATATTCCTTCAGTACTAGGTTAGTTGTTATATTCCTTAGTAATAGGTTTGTTGTTATATTCCTTCAGTAGTAGGTTAGTTGTTATATTGCATCAGTAATAGGTAAGTTGTTTTATTCCTTCAGTATTAGGTTAGTTGTTATAGTCCTTCAGTAATAGGTTAGTGGTTTTATTCCTTCAGTAAAAAGTTAGTTGTTATAGTCCTTCAGTAATAGGTTAGTTGTTCTATTCCTTCAGTAATAGGTTAGTTGTTATATTCCTTCAGTAGTAGGTTAGTTGTTATATTCCTTCAGTAATAGGTTAGTTGTTATATTCCTTCAGTAATAGGTTGGTTGTTATATTCCTTCAGTAGTAGGTTAGTTGTTATATTCCTTCAGTATTAGTTTAGTTGTTATATTCCTTAGTAATAGGTTAATTGTTATATTCCTTCAGTAGTAGGTTAGTTGTTATATTGCATCAGTAATAGGTTAGTTGTTTTATTCCTTCAGTATTAGGTTAGTTGTTATATTCCATCAGTAATAGGTTAGTGGTTTTATTCCTTCAGTAATAAGTTAGTTGTTATAGTCCTTCAGTAATAGGTTAGTTGTTATATTTCTTCCATTCAAAAAGGATATGTGAGATTGTCATCTTCGCCAGTTCATTAGATGATAGACTAGATCGTACCTGCTGAATAATTCGTAGGGGATGGGTGTGTAGTCGTCATACAATTCTTGCGTGGGGGTGGTACCGTATTCTGTGTCTGGTTCATAAGTACACAGTGGGTTCGTATCACTAGTCCAATCTATCAGTAGTAGGTAAGTTCACACCATGTGTGGAACTAAGAAATGAGATCGCATGCGTAATTCCATTCACAAGTGATTGGCGAAATAGCAATCTGTGTCAAATCTATAATTCATCGATAAAATAAAAAATAGTTTTAGTTCATCAGCAATGGGTAAGATCGTATCGTTTATCTCATTCCAAAGAAATAGACTACACCGTACTGCATGTGTAAACGTATGGGCTATGTTAGACCATATTCTTCTATCGCTTATGAATTAGACCTGAAAGACCCTCTCATCGTACCTCTGTAACCTGGTGTTGTTCATGTAATTCGTATGGGCTATGTTAGACCATATTCTTCTATCGCTTATGAATTAGACCTGAAAGACCCCCTCATCGTACCTCTGTAACCTGGTGTTGTTCTTGTATTTCGCACGGGCTATGTTAGATCATATTCCTCTATCGCTTATGAATTAGACCTGAAAGACCCTCTCATCGTGCCTCTATAACCTGGTGTTGTTCATGTATTTCGCACGGGCTATGTAAGATCATATTCTGCTATCACATGAATTAGACCTAAAAGACCCTCTCATCGTACCTCTGTAATGTTGTTCATGTTCATGGAATTCGCAAGGGCTATGTTAGACCATATTCTTCTATCATTTATGAATAAGACCTGAAAGACCCTCTCGTCGTACCTCTGTAACCTGGTGTTGTTCATGTTCATGTAATTCGCAAGGGCTATGTTATGTAATTCGCAAGGGCTATGTTAAATCATATTCTTCTATCAATTATGAATTAGACTTCAAAGACCCTCTCATCGTACCTCTGTAACCTGGTGTTGTTTATGTAATTCGCATGGGCTATTTTAGATCATATACTTCTATCGCTTACGAATTAGACCTGAACGGCCTTCTCATCGTACCTCTGTAACCTGGTGTTGTTAATATAATTCGCACGGGCTATGTAAGATCATATACTTCTATCGCTTACGAATTAGACCTGAAAGACCCTCTCATCGTGCCTCTGTAACCTGGTGTTGTTCTTGTAATTCGCACGGGCTATGTTAGATCATATTCTTCCATCGCTTATGAATTAGACCTGAAAGACCCTCTCATCGCGCCTGTCTAACCTGGTGTTGTTCTGAGTGTAGTGAAACGCACATTGTCCGCTCTCCTTTAGTCCAAAACATTCGAAGAGGACAGGTGCTGACGAGCTATTTGACGTCCATTGCCTTTTTAAATGAAACATCATAGGTTGTAAGGAGTGTTTTTATAATACAAGGATGGTCCAGACCTTGGATGATGTTCAGTCTAACCTTTTCTTAACTGACCTATTTATTTATTTATTTTTGCCTTGGGGGACCAAATTATCTCTAAAGTTTGTTGAGGCCAAAATTTGTGTTGGCAAAGCTACTAATAATCTTCCATAGCTGTTGAAAATAGTGTCTTACCTACGCAAGCTACATAGTGTATCGCGCTCTGTCGAGCAGACACACTAACACTATAAGGTGGTATATCTACAACCAACACCTTTTCTCATAAATGTAAATTGATATCTATATTTATATGTATGTATGTATGTATATATATTTATATGTATGTATATATATATATATGTGTGTGTGTGTGTGTGTGTGTGTGTGTGTTATATATGTTATTA